GCTGGTAAGTAATTCTAGCACGGTGGGAGGCCAAAATGGGTGGATTGCTTAGCTCAGGAGCCTGGCCCAAATTCAGATTTTCGAGTTAGAGTTTACCTATGGCAATTGTCTATTATGCAGGCTGGGCACCGTGGCTCAGGCTCACGCCTGTATTCCTAACACTCTGGGAGGCCGAGGCAGAAGGATCACTTGAGCTCAAGAGTTCTAGACCAGCCTGGGCAAGAGTTGAGGCCCTGTCTCTACTAAAAAATAGAAAAAAATGGCTGGGCATAGTGGTGGGCACCTGTAGCACCTGTATTCCCAGATATGAGGGACGCTGAGGCAGAAGCATCACTTGATCCCAAGAGTTTGAGGTTGCTGTGAGCTGGGCTAATGCCAGAGCACTCTAGTCTGGGCAACATGCTCAAAAAACTCTCAAAAAAAAAAAAATTCCTTTATGCTTCTAAAGCTCCTCCCCAGATTTGTCTCCTTGGGCCCAGTGATGCTGTGTTGACCTGAGGCAGTTCAGCTGGTCATCAGTTCAATGCAGTTCTTTTAGGAAATGCAGGTGGCCTAGAGGAGGTGAGGACTTTATGTGCCCTTCCCTGTAACCTGTCTATAAGACAGTGACAACGAAGTGAGTCTCATTCCAATTTTTGCTAAATGGACAGACGCTTAGAAGGCAGGCCCCAAAGTTGTACATGATCTGTTCCTCTAAGTTTTGGTGGGGCCCATTCTCAGTCCTTAGGCCTCTTGATGAGAAGTTCTGAGGTTCCCAAGATCCCCTGGGTGAAGTAGCAGGGGGGCCTCTGTGAATTGGGGTACAGGGCAAATGGGAGCTTCTGGTTCCTGGGGGCTATCACAGGGAGGGGACATTGTCCTTCATTGATTATATTTTCTTAGTTTCTGTATTCTTTTTTATTGTTGCGAATTCATTCATTCTTGAGGGTACAAAGAAGTGTCTGTATGCTCGATCCTCTGGCACTTGGGGCCTTGATTCTGGAGAGACTGCCCAACCCAGGTGTCACTCATCCCTGGACACAGTGAATGACTCGCCTAGGGCATTTCTGCCATACAGCCAGGGCCCTCCTCATGGCTATTTATCAAACACCAAGCCAGTGTGCCCACACCAAGCCAATATTCCCCCTGCCCACAGCACCCCGAGCCAGGTACCTCAATAGACCCCCTTACAGCCCAGAGCCCACAGAAAGTATGCAAACTCCTTGTCGCTGTTTTGTTTTGAGACAGGGCCTCCCTATGTTGCAAGGCTGGAAAGCTCTTGCTCCTAAATGTCCTCAGGTCCCCGCCACACCTCACCCATCCCTTCCTGGGAAAGCCCACAGTTCGGGCACACTCCTGCCTCCTACCCCTCCCGCTCCTTACCCACTTGGCCCTGCGTGGCACGTAGGGCCACCTGTTTCCAGGGCTCTGGAAATACGAGCCTCACCATCAAGTCTGCTGTCTGACCATCCCTGGTTAAAACAAACCCAGGCACATTTTAGCACATTCCCTGAAACAGAGGCTTTAGAGACTCACAGTTGGTCAGCTCAGGAGAGTCCATTTCTGAAGGGAAATGGAGGGAACCAGGGGCAACAGCCGAAATGGGAGGCATCTTCCTGCTCACTGCAGAATGGTCCCGGGTCCCAGGGTCCTGGGGTCCTGGGGTCCTGGGAGAGCCAAGTTCACCCTGTGCAGTTGCTCCAGGTTATGGAGGAGGGTAGTGAGTTGAAAGGTGTCTCTTGGGTAATGCCTGTAGCTCAAGGAGTAGACCACAGGCACCATATACCATATACTGGGGGTGGCAGGGGTTCAAGCCTGGCCCCTGCCAAAACTGCAAAAAAAAAAAAAAAAAAAAAAAGTGTCTCCCAAAATTTAACCCACATCCTAATCCCTGGAACCTGGGAATGTGATCTTATGTCGAGAAATGGTCTTTGCAGAGGTAATTACACCATCCTGGGTTATCTGGCTGTAACAGAAACCCAAACAAAGGCGAGGGTCCGTGTGAGAGGCAGAGAGGAGACACAGAGGAGAAGCCACCAGAGACGGAGGCTGGGACTGGGGTGACGCTGCCACAAGCCAGAGAACGCGGAGCCCCTGGAAGCAGGCAGAGAGAAGGATGGCCGAACCCTCCTGGGGCCTCCGGAGGGAACACAGCCCTGCTGACACCCTGGTTTCCCACGTTTGGACCCTAAAACTCTGGGAGATCGACTTTCTCCTATTTTCAGCCACGAAGTTTGTGGTAATTTGGGACAGCAGCCCGGGGAAACTAATGGAGGGCAGGGGGCACCCAGGAGGATGGGTCTGTGGATTTTCAACTTTTGTGTAACATCTTCTGTCTCTGCATCTTCTCTTGGGACTACTCAAGCGACTGTTCCCCTCTGCCGGCACCATGCCCCTGCGTACACAGCTACAGCTAAGTTCACTGGTTTCGCTTATTTTCAATTTTTAGGAATTACCTTTTTTAAATGCTATTTTGCTTTATAATTTGAGAATTATAGAATTTTTACAAGTTACGCTCAGTTACCTAAGCTCTGCCCCCTCTGTCCGCAAGCATGTGTTATGGTTCAGCCTCCTGCACAGCCCTGCTCCCCGCTGCCCCCAGGAGGGCACTAGTGCATTTCTGTTCTGACGGTTTCTGCACAGAGCTTTGTGTGACAGCCTTACTCCTTCCTGGTTTTCACTCTTGTGTGTTGGTTCTCTGCTGTGGTCAGTATTAGAACTGCTAACAAACTCTTCTTCCCTCTCCTGCCACATCTGATGAGAATGTCATTTGACTTCCAGTCAGTGATTATATGGCAATCAGCAGACCGATTCCCGTCATGCATCATCCCCACTCTGAGTCTGCTAGACGTGTCTGCAGCAGCGCACCCAGCCACTGTGCTCCCTAGCACGCTCCGTGTACCCATTTAGTCTCAGTTCTGCAGTACCCAACAATACTGGTCCTCAGGTCCACCTCTCCAATCTTCTTGTCTGAACTCTTTTCTTTTTATTTATTTTTGAAACAGTTTCACTGTGTTGCCCCGCCTAGAGTGCTGTGGTATCCGCCTAGTTCATAGCAACCTCAAACTCTGGGCTCAAGTGATCCTTCTGCCTCTGCCTCCCAAGTAGCTGGGACCATAGGCAACCACCATGATGCCCAGCTAATGTTTTTATTTTTAGTAGAGATGGGGTTTTGCTTTTGCTCAAGGCTGGTCTTGAACTCCTAAACTCAAGGATCCTCCTGTCTTGGCATCCCAGAGTGCTGAAATCACAGGCATGATCCACTTCACCAGCCCTGAAATTCTTTTATATTCCCAGAGAGCTTGTGTGTTCAAACAAGTTTCTTTGTGGGCTTTTTACCTGCAAGTATCCCTGCCAGCCAGGACAATGCTGGGCTTTGGCAGCAGTCTGGCACCGGAGGGACATGCAGAGCCCATGGCATCACACACTTTCTCAGCTTCTGGTCCTCAGAAGTCGGAGCAGCTCCAGTTTCCCTGGCCACATGTCTCCAGGCCACATACTCTGCAGGCAGAGACCTCGGGGACAGTTCCAGCCTCAACACATCCCCCAGCAATGACAGGTCCATTCCACAGAGGAGCCCGGGGCCTCCCCGCCAGCGGGCGGCTTGTTCCTGTGGCATCCAGTGCCTCTTTGGAGAAGGTGGGATCTCAGCCTTGGAGAGATAGGGGCTCTCAAAGTTCCTTCTTGCCCTCTGAGGTGGCAGCTGTCACCTTGTACTTCTTTCAGAAGTGAAGCACCTTTGTCTTGTAAATTACATCTTCCTGAGGAGACCCTGACTGCTGTGAGCCCAGAGCTGCTTCAGAAAATGCAGTCTTCCTTACATTCCCTGCTGGACGTGTACTCTCCTGAGGCAGCTGATTTGGGGCTTAGAGAGCACAAATCTCTTTCTGCCCCTGTGGCCAGGTGTCCGGCAGGTGGGCCGTGCTTTCCCCACCGCCCTGTTTCACGATCACTGCATGTTCCCGTCTGCGGCAGTGGTTTCCTGGGGCACATCTATTCACTTACGTAAAACCTAAGCGTTCTTTTCTTTTTATCCCCATACATTCAGGCATTAGAATTAAAGGAAAAATATGTAAACTCTTCAGGGAAGTTAAAGTTTTGAGACAATTGAAGCAATTTAAAAATTATAAGTCTTTTAAAATTTCAACTCCAAAAAGTGACTTATAATTTTATGAATAATCTAGATATATTGTCTATTCTCTGGGAAGGTGACAGAAAGTCCAGACAAATGATCAAATAAGATACTTCAATGTTTGGATGAAACATATACTTTACACATCTCTGTGCAAAAAAAATAAACACCCTTTTAAATAACAGCAAAATACAGGGTGGTCATAAAATGTGTGCGAGTTTAAATTGCACACTATTTTAAAAATGCACATGAACTTCATGGCCACCCTGTATTTCCCATAACTTTGGGTTTTCACAATTCTTTGGACACTGGTAACATTTATTAGCATGGCGGCCAATCTGCAGAAAACTAATAAGCCTAACCACTTCCAAATTCTCAGAAAAGTAATCTGAAACGTATTCACTGGTGCTGTCATTTTGGAGATTTTATAAAGGGTGAATTCCCAAAAAAGGGCCTTGGACACTATTACCATTCAAAGGGACCAAGTGCTAATCTACACTGCTGTCCAGTAAGCTGCCTGGCCCTGGACTTCTGCTAGACAGTACAGTCCCCCAGAACCTACCTTTCCCAGAGCTGATCAGGCCTCAGCTGACTTCAGGGTGGTTTTCAGGGAGCAAAAGGTGAGTCCATCTGAGCCCTGCTAGTCACTGGTTTTGAATCAAGGAAAAGGAAAGCCCACTTTCCAAACTGCCCATCTTCCCTTCTACTTTGCAGTCTCCAAACAATCACTTTACTGAAAGAGATTACTTTACGGCTACGAATTTTTCACACTTAACGTCCTTACAAGACATGGTGCAGAGCAGTAATTAAATGGGCCCCACGAAGCATCTGTCATCCTCAATTTCTATGAAGAGAAAAACTCACACTACAGATGTATGTGGTTAATAACAAGTTGTATTTGGTGCCAAGGTTTTAACAAGCACTATTTTGACATTAAAATGTGTTCTTCTCTGTATTAATGGCCAACATCTTCAGACTCTTCAAGGTTTTCTAAATTGACCGCTTGCCAAAGAAGAAATCTGAAAGTCCTATCATGCCACTCTTTCTAGCATCTCTAAATTGGAAACAAAGACACTTATCAGGAATTTCTCAGCACACTTAGTAAAATTGTTATAAAATACAATATAATTTAAAATATCTACCTTAAAAACTTATTTATGGTCTCTCATCAGCAATTAAATAAGGCATTCATCTTTTTTTTTTTCTTTTTTTGAGACAGAGCCTCAAGCTGTCATCCTGGGTAGAGTGCCATGGCATCACAGTGCACAGCAACCTCCAACTCCTGGGCTTAAGCGATTCTCTTGCCTCAGTCTCCCAAGTAGCAGGGACTACAGGCGCCTGCCACAACGCCTGGCTATTTTTTGGTTGTAGTTGTCATAGTTGCTTGGCAGGCCCGGCTGGATTCGAACCTGCCTGATGTAATGTATGTGACTGGCACCTTAGCCGCTTGAGCTACAGCACCGAGCCTAAATAAAGCATTCTATTTCCTTGCACAAAATGTGCAAAAATGTACAACTGTACATTTATTTTAAATGAAAATATCAATACTATGTGTCATAATTTTTCTTTAACACCTTGCAGTCTCAGGGAAGGAGAGGGAGCGGCCCCAGCTGAGCAGGGTCCATGTCTGTCATAGCCCCAGGTCAGGTGTATCAACTGGGCAGTGCACACAAAGGAGGGAGGAAGGCCTGAGGGGGGCTGTTGGGGGGGGGCTGAGCAGGAGCAGGCCGGAAGGTGTCAGTTGGGGGGGGGGGCTCAGCATGAGCAAGGGGACCACAGGACCCCAAAGTGCAGAGTGGAGGGAGAGGCTAGGGAGGCAGGGGGAGAGCTGGACCACCTGGATGACTGCTGACGTCAGCCAGGATGATGTCAAGAGCAGCACAAGCAAAAGGATGACATGGGGGCCACGTTTGATGAGAAAGGGAAGGTTAGAACATGGGTGGACAACAGAGCCAGGCAAGAAGACAGGACGACGGAGTCACAGAGGGAGGAGGCCCCAGCCACTGGCCCATCCCTGTCTGTCCTTGACCCTGGCTCTTCTGTCCTCACAGCACTCAGCACAACCTGCTGCCTTGGAACCTGTGTATGGTCTCTGTCCATGCCATACCTTAAAACTCCCTAGGTCAGGGGCATGACCTACCCTACTGAGTACATTCCAGGTACCTGGACCAGTGCCCGGCACAGAGCAGGTCCTCAGTAGACTATACTATGGGCAAACAATTCATGGTGAAAGGTGTGGGGCTCAGGGACTGACCTGCACTGGGGCCAGTGGCCCCCGATTGGGGGTGAGTGCTGAGAGAACCTCAGGGTCCAATCTCGATTCAGGCTGGAGCCCGGAGGCACTGGGCTCTTTCCTGTCCTCCCCTGGACACTGTGCCTCCAGTTCCCAGGTTCACTCCTCCTCACTCACATCCGGGCCCAAACTGTTGCCTTGGGTTGCCCCCGCCACCCCACTGCACACCCTCCTGCCGGGGCTGCTTTTCCTCTCACCCTGCCAGTACTCCAGGGCACATATTTGGTAACTACTTAAGGAATAACAAGGAAAGCACTTGGGCAGGACAGATGAGCCCTGCCCCTGCCTACTCAGAGTCTAGTCTGTAACGGGAGGATTTGTAATTTTTTTTTTGAGACATAGTTTCATGTTATCCTCTGTACAGTCCTGTGGCATCATAGCTCACAGCAAACCTCACACTCTTGGGCCCAAGCGATTCTCTTGCCTCAGCCTCCCAAGTAGCTGGGACTACAGGTGCCTGCCACAATATCTGGCTATTTTCTTGTTGCAGTTGTCACTGTTGTTTAGCTGGCCCGGGCTCAGCTTGAACTCGCCAGCCTTGGTGCATGTGGCTGGCACCTTAACCACTGTGCTATGATGCTGAGCTGATTTGTAATTTTTTTAAACACTATTCTGGGTGATCAAATATCAGTACCAAGTAATGCTCCAGAGTAGAGCTGCCCTAAATCTCAAGCAGCCCGGTGCAAATGCAATATACAAGTGTACCATAAAAGGTGCCGCCTAACAAGTGCATCAGACCACGCACTGTGTTGGTGGTGTCAGTGGCATCGTCAGGTCTCTGCAGACACTGTGGCATCCCTGGCACTAACATCAGGCTGCCCAGAAGCAGCATCAGTTTCTCCATTTCATTGTGGAGAAATGAATTCTATCTTACTTTTTAACATGCTTCAGTTTAAAACCATCTGACATACCATAAACAAGAATCAGGATAAACTTTTCTTAATGACAGGATACGTTCTCTCCCTGGGAAGTCTAAAGACACTGAACCCAGGCCTGCACTGGTCCGCAGCACAGGTCAGGAAAGCTGGCCTTCCTCGGGGGGCGCTTTTTTTGCTGCTGGCCTTGGCATGCAGCCCCATCTCAGGATGCAATACAATACCTGCCTCTTCCCGTCCTAGCAAAGGCAGGATTAACTGGAATAAAGTCATCTCAGAAGAGATGTGATATTGTGAAATGTATATTTGGTCTTCAGTACTACTCTTTTCCTGGCATACAACTCCTAAGATTCTTAGAATTTCCAAAATGATATATTTTATCTAACCAATGACTTGACTAAGGGCTGGTAGCCCCTAGGTAGCTTCAGGATGGGGTTAATCACAGGAAGACCAAGCCAGGATTATAGGGTCCGAACTTCTAGCCCATCCCAACCTCCAGGGATGGGAGAGGCACTGAAGGCTAACATCATCATCAGTTGGTCACGTCCAACCAAAGATGTCTCCATGAAAGGCCCTAAAGGATAGAGCCTGGGGAGCTGCTGGACAGCTGGACACCTGGAGGCCCACATCAATGTGAACAAGAACCCATCCATGTGCAGGGAGGCTGGTGCCCCCCAACGCCATGGGGACAGAAGTTCCCATGCTCAGAAGCCTTCCAGGCCTCACCCCAAGTATCTCTTCATCTGTCCAGCTGTTTATTTGTATCCCTTAAAACATCCTTTTGAATAAACTGCTGAGCAGTTTCCCTGAGTTCTGTGGCCACTTTAGCACACTAATCAAACCCAAAGAGGCATTGCGGGGACCTCCATTCGTAGTCAAAAGGACACACGTAAAGCAACCTGGGCTTCAAGAGTGGCGTCAGAAAGGGAGGCAGTTTTAGAGACTGACCTTACCCTGTGGATCTTCTGCCATCCCCAGGTAGTTAGTGTTGGAAGTGAACTAGAGAACACCCAGTTGGTGTCCACTGCAGAAGATATCACTTGCTTGTTGGTGGAGGAAAAACAACCCACATTTGGTCACAGAAGTCTTCTGTGTTGATTGTGGTTATAGTGTGAGGGCAGAGGAAAGACTGGATTTTCCCCTATAAAGGAGAAGTGAGAGGAAGGACCCCAGAGTGCACACACTTACGTGCTTCCCTTTAAAGTGGAAAGGTAGGTGTCCACCTCCGAAGGAGAGAAGTCTGGGTCCAAGCTGGCCAAGTAGTGGTAGACGTAGGCAAAAGTCTCAAATGGGATGCGAGCAGGCCCGCCCTCCGGGTCGGCAGTGAGGATCTCACATAGGTGCTTCATTGCGGTGGTCAGGGACTAGAAGCACACAGGCCAGGAGGGGAAAAAGTTACTCTTAGAATCACTAAAATTTAAAGTCAACACCAGAAAAATAAATACCCAAGCATATTTGACAGAAATTCTCCAAAAGTTCTCCATCTGAGTTAAGAATTAGGTGAGGCCAGGCATGATGGTTCATGCCTGTAGTCCCAACACTTTGAGAGGCCAAGGCAGGAGGATCACTTGAGGCCAAGGTTAATTTAAGCCCAGCCTGGGCAACATAACCAGTCCTGTCTCTACAAAAGGCAAAAACTTAACCAGGCATGGTGGCATCTGCCCATCGTTCCAACTACTCAGGTAGGAAGCTAAGGCGGGAGGATTGCCTGAAGTGAGGAGTTGGAGGCTACAGTGAGCTCTGACACCACTGTACTCCAGCCTGGGTGACAGAGCAAGACTCTGTCTTTTTGTGTTTGAGAGCGTCTCAAGCTGTTGCCCTGGTTAGAGTGCAGCTCACAGCAACCTCCAACTCATGGGCTCAAGTGATCCTCTTGCCTCAGTTTTTCTATTTTTAGTAGAGACGGGGTCTTGGTTTTGCTCAGTCTGGTCTCGAACACATGAGCTCAAGCAATCCACCCACCTTGGCCTCCCAGAGTGCTAGGATTATAGGTGTGAACCACCACACCTGGCCCAAGACTGTTTTTTAAAATAAAAGAAAAAAGAAAAAAAAAGGACTAGTCAATTGTCATAATGAAAAATAAAAAGAGAAGGTTTAAACAGGATGTCATGAGCCAGAAAAAATATATAATTCACAGGTTTTATTTTATATTAAAATGAGGATGATTATTGTGAACAAGAGGAAGCATCAGTGTATTAACACAGTAACTGCCATGTGAAACATATTTAAGCTCATGCTAGTTTTGAGCCTGGGGCCTCATGAAGAACGTGTAACTCACACGTCTCTTGACCTTAGGAGCCACGTGCTGTGCAGGCAGCTCACCCTGCCGTGCTATAGCACACAGGGTATGTGATGGGCAGCCACCTGGGCAAAACAAGAAAAAATAACAAATTTTTCATTAAATTATAAAGGATCACTTTGTTTTTGAAGTTTTCATTCTATTTTTATAATAAAACACTGTAGCCCCAAGAAAACATTTTTTCCTAGCATGGCAGTCAGCGTGTTGAAGACGAACTTCCTAAGCCAGAGCAAACCCAGCCCGGTCAGGCCAGAGACACACAGGAACAGAGCGAACTCTGCTGCCAGCCAGAGGGCCGCCTGTGGCAGGGCAGCCCACGTGCCTAGGTACAAGGAGGTCCCCACACGGGCAGGCAGGTAGGCAGGCGCCGGCGGGCTGTCCAGCTCCAGCGTCCTCTCAGTCCCAGGATAGTTAGCACCAGGCCTGGCTCCTCCCCAGCGGGCAGCAGCCCCATCTTCCACTTTCTGCCCTCCCACCTTCCACAGCACCCACACTCCCCTTCAAGACCCACAGCAGCGTAGCTACTAAGGTCTTCCTCGTGAGACCAGAAGCTCCAGACGGCGGGAGCCTTGTGGGCCCAGATGTACAGCCCACAGCCTCTCACCTCCAACGCCCTCAATGAATTCTTGGTGAGAAAAGGGGAGGTTTTTTTTAAAAGGAGGAGTAAAAATCCTATAACAGATTATCATCTTTGAAAAACACAGCACACAGCCCAGGTCTCTTTTTCTCCTTCCCCACTAGGACGCCATGCTGTGTCCTACTGGCATGCTGGTCAGGGCACACTGGGGACAGCGCTTTAATCCCAAGTGGCCATAGTGGCCTACATCTCAATCTGCACCTTTCTCTGGAGCCCATCCTTGCCAGAGTGACTCCCTGCCCAGCTGTCATGCTGCTTAGTGACGGAGGAAGGGGACTTCCAGGGCAGCACCGTGGCCAACACACACCCAGGGCCAGGCTGCCCCTCAGTTCCCGTGTTCACCGCCCCCCACGGACAGGGACACAGCAGCTGGAGATGCTCGTGCCTGCTCTCATGGAGATGGGAGTCTAGGTGGGAGAGGCAGGAAACACCTGGATTTGAGAATGCTCTGGAAGCGGCGTGCCTGGAGCAGTGGGGTGGGAAGTGCTGGGTGGAGGGTGCCGTTTTTCCATTAGGTGGTGAGGGAAGGTTGTGGGGGCCCTTATAGACTGAGAACTTGGGCTTTCCTATGCCCTGTGGGAGGCTGTTAAGTGACTTTAGACAAAGAAATGGTACAGAGAGTTCCTAGGCGGGCCCCCAGCTCACGTGTGAAGAGGAGGCACCAGTGGCAAGCATGGAGGCTGCTGGAATAAGCCAGAGGCCGGTTGGCACCAGGTGGAGGCCCAAGAGGGGCTGCACTCTGAGCCTGCCCTGAAAATGACGTTAGGACTCGCTTCTGTTGGGGTGCGGGGTGAGAGACAGGACACTGCAAAGTGCTGGGAAAGGACAGATTTGCTACTCACTTGGACAAGAGAGGGCGGCAAGTTCCAGGTGGAGGACAAGCAGCTCAGTTTGACAGTTTCTATGGGCATGTCGGTTAGGCCTGTGTGGAAAGGCTATGGTGGATATTTGGGCCTGAATTCAGGCAAGGGGCTGGGGCTGGAGACCCCATGTTGGGAGCACCAGCCCACAGTGAGATGGTGAGACTGCTGGAGGGGTGGACAGAGCTCTGGGAGAAGAGGGTCAGCTCGAGAGGGAAGGGACAGTAGGGAGGGGAGGGAAAGCAGGTGTGGGGGGGTGTCAGCAGCAAGTGAAGAAAAGCCTTTTGAGGTAGAAAGAGTTGTCACCTCTGTCAAATGACCAGAAAGGCCAAGAATGACAAGGACAGGTGCCTGGGGCTGGACTCCGTGCAACAGTGGTGCTAGAGCCAGGAATTCTGTGAACTTCACATCAGTGGCATGGACTCAGCTATGGTGGGAGTATTTACACCACATTAATTGGCAACATTAGAAATCAGGGCTCCCCCAGACCCAGCTGCCACTGTGAAGAGTACAGAGTGCAGGTGACATGGAGCTGGCATCTGCAGCCTCCCCAGCTAGCCCCACACCATGCTCCTAGGACGAGGCCCATAGGAACGAATCCAGGGCTACCTACAAGGAGGAAGTAGCAGCAGGAGGAGGCAGGATACGAGCACCAGAAGAAAGCTGCAGACAAGGAAAGAGTGCTGGGCAGTCACACCCAGACCCACTGGACGGAACAGGGGCTGTGCTGGGAAATACAGCAATGTCCTCGGGGATGTGCAAAGAGCTCTGAGCCCCGGGTGGCAGGTCTGAGATGCAGTCCTCATGTAGGATGACCCGTGCAAAGAACAGGCTGACCACCAGCACAGGCGGAACATTTGCTGTGTCCCAGGCACCGTCCTGGGAGCCTGCCAGGGGGGTCCCGGCTGCTCCTCACAGTAAGCACGTGTGGTGAGGACTGCAGTTATCCTCGGTTCACAGAAAAGGGCAGCAGGGCCAAAAAGGCCCAGTGATTGTCCAAGTCACCCAGCTAGGACTGGAATGCAGCCAGTGGGCCTCTGAGCTCCTTCTGACAACCACCACATTCTACCACCTCCAGCGGCCCTGGGGGTGGCTGGGGCAGAGAGGCAAGGCACAGAGACACAGCCCTACTCAGGAGGCGGGGACGCCAGAACACAACTCATCTCCTTGTCACTGTCAGCAGGCCTGATGCATCACTTCTTCCATTTTCACTCTGGAAACCCACTTCCCACAGTAGCCAGCACTGGTGGCCCTTGCCACAGTGTCCTGCTGATGTTGGCAGGCACAGTTTTCTTTTTCTGTTTGTTTTTTTGGCAGTTTTGACAGGGGCCAGGCTTGAATCCTCCACCTTTGGTACATGGGGATGGCTCCCTACTCCTTGAGCCACAGGAGCCGTCCTGAGGGCACAGTTTTGATGGGAGTCCACCTCTGAGAGGCGAAATGATGCTCTCATCAGAAAACCTGACTATGCTCGTCCTGGGCGGGGCAGCAGAGGATGACCGGGTGACTCCTCTGAAAGACTGCCCTCCTGTGAGGGTCTGCTAAAAGTAAAGTGCATTTCATAATCCATGCTCCTTGCCCGAAACGTTCAAAGATATGTTGTTATGTTAAAATTTACTTTTATATCCGACACAAATGGAAGTAAGTCACTGCCACATGCAGAATGGCACAGCCTCTGTGAGGAGGCGCTGGGGAGGAAGCAGTTGGCGTGGGCCGAGCAGGCAGATGAGATCTGCGTAACATGCTGTTCAAAGGCTTCAGAGGAAGAGGTATTTAAGGAAAAATACACCAAAACATTCTAGCATCACTGCCTCTGCAAAGGCGTGATGACACTACCAATGTCAACGTTTCTGACAATAAGATCTGTGGGGATTTTTATATCCAGAAGGGTTTATAAGGCAACTTGCTTGATCCTGTGCTGGGAGTTATGTTCCTTATAAACATACTTCTCAAATTCCAGAGTTGCAGGAATTTGCAGCCTCAGCAGCCAAAGGACCCTCTCCAAGGCAGGCGGCGCCCCTTGCTAACCTCCCGCCTGCTGCCCATTTACGACCACTGTGGAGAACACGCCAGGCAGAGGTGACTGGCAAGCCGTACTTTGTTTCTAACCAAGTATTTACACCTGATCCATAATCTGAAATTAAAGTGAAGACGTGTGAAAAAACTACTCTTTCCTGAACATTTCCAGCGTGCCAGTTCTGTGGGATTTTTTTCACAGTTTCAGAATTATATCTGCTCTTGTGATGACACTTAAAGCTTCTGAGTAACAGTCACCCCACACCTCCCTAAGGGGGCCTCTTAGCAAGCATGGGAATAAAAAATCTGAACACTACCTTGAACCACATTAGGCCCAACCGAACAAAGGAAGTCCTGCTCCCCAAGGGGGGGGCCTGGCTGCCTGAGGGGCAGGCGGGCCTGAGAGGGAAGCCGTGACACTGACCCAGCCTGTGAGCCTTTTCATCTCTCTGTATTATCCTGATCAGTTTTCTAATTTAAAACAGAGCTTTGGGGCTTATGCCAATGAGGGTGGGAGGCCACGAATTAGAAGGAGCCTCCAGACAAGTGGCT